TAAACCAGCATTGTACCAAGAATAGATTTCACCACCAAGACCATCATGGTCGATCTTCACGGCACCTGTTAAACAATGCACTTAGAATTTAGACTCGACAAGCATACTCTACTCACCCCAGTGAACTTGATCTTCTTCTTCCAAAGCTCTTGGTTTTGCCCACGGAGGAATTCCTTTGCCAAGCATATCAGACACGGACATGCTTATGGTTGCGGAAAAAAGGAGCACAAGTAGCACATCCTCGTTGGGATCAATCTATACGCTTAGTTTGCTTCCTGGATCCAGAATGGAAAGAAAAAAATGTTCACCTCCATGCCACCGGAGCGCCAGTTGATGAGCGCTGTTGCTTTCCCTTGAGGTGCGTCGCTTGTGAATCTCACCATTGTCACAAAGCATGCTTCCATTTGGTCTGATGATCCAGGCACAGAAAACTCCAAGTGGCGACCGGGAAGAAGCGCGATCTTATTAATATGAAAAAAAGAGATAACTCGGTTAATGATCATGTTCTTCGAATATGACAACTTACTGGACAGTCCTCGGACTTAAACTCCACATTCAAGCTCATTCCTGGTCTCATGTTCCACTGCTTGTCACTCGCGTCCTTTTCCATGACTAAAACAATGGCATCGTCCAGAAGAGACCACCTTCGTGAGTCCTTGGATGGTCTCTCGAGCTGTCTTGCAGATCCAAGAACCTCACCTAGGAAGAATTGAGAAAAACAGAAGAGTGAAAACTTTGTGATTGTTGTATTACCATCAATGGAGCTGGAGCCTTTGTATGTCCGATGAACATTCACAACTTTATCAGTGTCTGGGAGACGTTTACCTCCTTCACGTTTGTATCTAGACAGCAAAGGAGAGATCGAGCGATTCATGTCATCCACAAAAAAGAAAAACATGGCAAACTTACCGGCAACGAATGACGAAACATTCCTTGTTGGCATGATCGAAGACAGTCCTTGTTATCCACACGCCTTGAGAACTAAAACTGCTGCGAGTGACTCCATCTTCTCCAGTGTCTCCCACTCTCACGCTTCTCAAGAGATAATTCGCAGTGACCGGAGGAGTAGCGGAGATGTAAACCAGCACCAACACTTCTCGGTCCTTCTTTGTGTCTTGCATTGGAAACCAGCCGCCAAGCGACTGCGTCTCGGAAGCGCTGAGGTTTTTCCACGGAATGACGAGTCGTCCCAGCGTTTTGGACGTGAACATTCCCTTCTTCCAAGCTGTGATCACCAGCCCCTCGGTGGATAGCTCGGGTGTCATGGACGAAACTATATTCCTCGGCGATGAGCCTATGCGATTTTGGCTATGGAGCTCAAAACTTGTTTTCTTTAACATGCTGAAAACGAAAGAGACCATGCCATCCTGCGGCAAACCTTTGGAACCTCGCACGGAGAGACGAACCTGCGTTTGAACGACCAGAGTGATTCATACCGAACTTGCAAAAGTTCTGACCATATACCTGGATAGTGTTCCTGGCTTTCAGTGAAACCTTGTTTCTGCAAGAGAGACTCGCGAGCTTGGTGGGATCATAAGCAATCGTTCCCGAAATCGCTGCTGGCGGCTCCCCTCTATACATGCACCCTGCCTTCTCGTATGGCAAATCATATAAAGATTCCCACAGATACAGAGTTTTTGCGAATCCTTTGTCCAATTTTCCTCCAGGATCTCTGTTACTGTCTGTATCATCATGTTCGAAGATCCTTCCAAATAACCGTGTGAGGTCGCTTCTGTAACTCACAGGATGAAGTTGATGCGTGTGCCATATCAAATCAATGTCGTAAGTGGGAACTAAGAACACCGATGCTGCAGATGTGTGTCGGGCGACCAGATGGAGAAAGGCCTTGTATCGAGCAGCGGCAGCGCGTAAGAAGTTCTTGTCAACGTAGTGCGGCCCGGAAACCTGTTATAGCTACTGCAATGAGTTCCAAGTTTCATAGGTCTAAAAGCAAACCATCACGTACCTGATAGTAAAACTTTTGCTGCCTGAGAACCGCATCAGCCAAGTTGTAGGAGATGCCACTCGATCTTCCGGAGTACAATGGTCTCGTCAAAGAGATTTTCTCTTCGAGTTCATACGGTTCGTCTGGAAAGCTGGAAGTCCAAGCAACAATACTTTGTTGGAGAGCATTCTTGGACTTCTCCAGGCAAGGTGTGTCCACTATTTTTCCAAAAAGTCTTTTGCAATCCTCGGCATATTGGATCTACTCCAGCGTACAAGTATCAGCAATCTAGAAAAATATGGAATTATCCTTTTAAGACTCACTGGATTCAAGCGATGGCAGTGCCAAATCCATTCGCAGTCAAGTGGTGGAAGGAGTCTTGACGAAGAACTGGCTAGCAATGGAAGACAACAGTACTGATATCTAGTTTTGGGAGAGACAAAGAAAATTAATCACAAGGTTAGAAAGTGTAGAAGATAAACCTCTCAATCGCTCTGTTTAAAGCAGGCTCCTCGAAAAGCCTGTAATTTGCGTGTACCACTGATAGAAACTCCAGGTGAGTTCTTGCAGCCGCTACAACATCCAAAGAGAGTGAAATCTCTTGAGCGCTCGACCATTCGTGATTCACTTGGGGCGGTGATGCTGCCATTGGTTTGTGAGTTCGTGAATTGAGAAGAAACACAAATAGATCATGGCCTAGTGGGGCAAGAGGAATTTATCTAGTCCACTCTAGAACAAAATAGGTTGCATCTTGAGAAGGCTTAGACTTAGTCAGAAGGTGGAAATCCATTAGGATATTTTTTTTGTGATTTGTGCTTAAAATCTTTGCTACAAGACAAAGTGTGGATAAAGATAGTTTTAGGAAAATAAGAGATATAAGGTGGAGGATTAGGCTAGGCTTTACTTTTTCTCACCCCTTTTGTAAAGCATTGAAAAGTGTTTAATAATGTTTAATAATGTTTAACAATGATCTTATAAAACTTAGATTGAAAAGTCCAAAGGGATTTCAATGGCAACACAGCTGCCTTGAGTTTGTGTGTGAGCTCCAACCAGAGAGGATTGTGTCAGTCAAGAGGGTGGGGTTATCAGTGGAGCATTCCACAGCTTGTTAATGGCAACACAATAACCCTTAAATATTAATCTTAAATTTGAGAGTGTTCTTGAGGGTTAGTGTTCTCCTGAGAAGATTGAAAGGGTTTGAGGGAGAATTCTAGAGCAAGGGAGATGGCTTCACAGCCTACTATTGGCAACACAGTGGCCCTAAGCAAATTTAATCAAATAGAGGAGTGTTCTTGCTTTCTTTCCTATAAAGGTATGTGATAGTGGGGCAATTGGGGGGCAATTGCACATTTCTTGATGCTTTGGAGCTTTGGGGGCTTTAAATGTATAATAGAGATAATGGGTAGATTAGGCATTGTTGACTAATTTGAGGCATAGTTTTGAGTGCTTGTCCTTATTTTGCGTCTGGCTTGGGTGTAAACCTAAGTTCTACACCATATTAATTAATGGAGTCCCCATATCCTTGTGTTAGGCCATTAGTATGTTGAAATAATGCTAAACTCTATTTGACTTCATTTTGCATACTAGTCTTAGCATTGGGATGCTAGAAGCTCTAGAATTATTCTAACGTCACTCTATGCTCCTATCCTTTTGTTCATTGGGCTGAACGCTCAAGAGTTTCTCTGTGCTCCAGTCCCTTTACTCCCTGGCTGCAAGCTTGGGAGTTTGGCTCCATTCCTTCATTCAGTGGCCTAAGGCTTTAAAATTTGGGTTTCGCTCCACTGTCCTTGGACATGTGGCATATGGCATATGGCATGTGACATATGGCATATGGAGGGTTTAAGTTTTATTTCATGATTATGTCACCATAGGATAAAGGGTGAACATCATGTGCAGTACATAAACTCTTAAATATATAGTGTAAGCGACTAAATTTTCCATGCTACTTTAATCTTAACTAGACCTCCAACCACTTGGAGGAGTCTCTTTCATAACTTTCATAATTCCTATTCCTAATTTAGGGACTTGCTAGCCCCGTGAAAGGCATCCATACCACTTAGCCTTTGCATTTGGTCAAAGTGCTCAAAGTGTCTAATCCCATGATTGACACTCCAAAGGTACTATCGATATATTAATTTATTACACTAAGGCTATGTCCATTCACCTTTGTCACATCACAGTCCTGTCTCTCAAAGACTGGCCATCCATCAATGAGTGGTCATCCCTTGACCACACCTTAGTATCTTTAGGGTGTCCAGAGACCTAACACCTTTAGATTGCTTAGTGTGAAAGCTCGGCATATCTAATTTAAACACTTCGGTACAAGTAGCTCCAAGGACGTGGTAAATAAGATGGGGACACCCAGTCTTAATTGTTATAGACCCTTGGCTAGAAGGGTTGACTTGGGCGTACCGCAAAATGTGGGGGATGCCCTTGGGGTCATGGTTAACAACTTAAAAGTTTGGAAAACTTAGTATTTATTAGCAAACTTGTTAAAGTGTTAAGGTTAAATCACTAAATGATCTTATGATTAAACAAGGATAAGGACCTTGTGAGGTTAAAGAATAAGATTCTTAGTTTAAAGTGTTGATTTTAACTATTGGTAATAGTGTGGCTTGGTCAAAATGACCAAGCCACAAAAGACATTTAAGGGAAATGAACTGTGTCAATGTGATGGCATAGCGAATCCAAAAAGGTAGTTTCTAGGAAACACCCATAGGAGGGTTGCGAAGTTGGGCCATAGATAGAGCCCACAACAAAAAATGCTAAAGAGACCTACTAAGGATGAACACCCTCTAAACTTGGCAAAGCAAAGCCTTTGCTATGGAACTAAAACGATACCTTGAGGATGGAAATAGTGATTATATATTACTTGGTGCAACAATTAAAGAATAGGATCGAAAGACTAGTGGCCAAGATTGGGTCATGGAAATCATTGAAAGGAATCCAAATAGCAAAATTAAGTAAGGAACACTTATATATTATATGCTAATAGATTATGGGAAAACATCACAACTCTGGGGCATCCCCCACTTGGTGGTGTGCCCAAATCAGTCTCCTTATTAAGAGTCCATGATCACTGAAAAATGAGTGTGACCTTATATTCTAAACCATCACCATGCCCTAGTGAGTTGGGACTCAAACCTAAACACTAAAGGGTTGGGACTCAAACTCAACCTCCGTATATGCATCTATAGGCGGCATCACTCAAGATGCCTGTTGTGACTCCTTATGTCGGTGCACCGACTTATACCCAAAGTGCGCTATTAATCACAGCTTAAGAACTTAATTCTTTCAAATTGCCAAGTCCTCTCACTTAACAAGTTTATGATCATGCATAAACTCCTCCATACTTAGCCCCATATGCCACACCTTTTGAATTTAACACCTTCACCTAGGGTCTTTGTTCCCCCGACTTGCCAATCTCACTTAGCAAGTCACTCGACCAACGTAATATGATTTCATGCATAAGCATGAAAGTCCTTAACTATTGACTTTCATTCAAAGCCATCCCTTTGAACATTCGGGAATTTGTTCCCTAACCTTGATAGCCTCACTTCATGGCAAGCTTCAAGACCATACTTTTGCTATGCCATTCTGATTTGTGCAATCCTATAAACCATTTACATTCATCTTTCTAAGTGTCAACCTAGATATAGCATATG